CGATAATTATTTTAAAAATTTGAGCCCTGTGTTTAGTTCTGCCCCGGCGGCAAATTCCAAAGTGAATCTACGTCAAGTCGAACGTGATCGCACGAAAAATATCAAGCAGGGCTTGATTTCTCGACCGAGTCTCCAAACCATCGTTCAATAGTCCAAATTTTGTACAATTTTGTGGTAACGCCTAAAGATTCATCGTATTATCGCTAGATCGTCGAGATTTTTGTACAATTAATCGTTTCGTGTAACCGGACCTTTAGGCCTCGGTACGCTAACTGTGGCCAATGGGGAGAGTTAGTTTCGTTATGGAGAGATAATAATATGATATAAGGGGAATGGAGGAATAAGGGAAATGGAGGGATAAGGGGAATGGAGGGACAAGGGGATATAAGGGTATAGGGAGGTCGGGGGATTGGGAAAGAGGATGCTGGGGAGGTGGGGTGAATTGGGATGGGGGTAGGGGTACAGTAAGGGGGCGGGGAGCATGGCTGTTTGGAGCAGGTTGTGAAGGGTTTAGATGTTGGGGATAAGGTATATCGTTTCCCCTCCCAGTCTTTCTAGACAGAAATGGACATCAAGCCACATAGAATCATGAGCTTTTACGACTGATAATTTTTAAAAATATGAGTAGCTCAGGAATTCGCTTCTCCTTATAGTCCAACCAGAGAGCTCGAGACAGTCTCGGGCCATCGGCACGATTTAGGCTATTAGTGTTAGGAGGCAGTTTGCTTTTGCCTTGCCTGCCATTGACAACTCTAATCTGAGGATGAGACAATGTCCCACCAGAAAGACGGAGATAGGGAATAAAAAGAAATTCGAAGGCTTCAATTTTTTTGTGATTTCACTTGATGTAACTTGTCTAGTTGTGGATAAATTGGCGAACAGATAGTGAGAAGCGGTGACAATGTGCATCCCTATCCTATTCGATGTGCCCTACAATTTCAGTGGCCATGTCCTTTTGAAAGGTGTATTGAGCGTGTTCATCTGAAGCGTCGGTCCACTAGCATCAAAACATTGACGTTTTGTTATTTCAAGATAACAGTTATGGTGTGAGTGACAGGTTTAAATATTTAGAGAAAAATCTAATCAAAATTATTAGTCGCGTGTAACCTGAACAATAAATGTTCGTCGGATCGCAAAGAGAGAGCCCCTGTGCATAGAAATCGATAGGCTGACATTTGTTGCTATTCTAGCAGTAGTAAAACATTCATGTTATGTCTATTTATTTAATCAAAATAATTGGTCAAACAACTCTGATAAATATCTCCCAAAACGGTATCAAAATCCTTCAGCTAGTAAGGGTAGTTCTGACATTTGCCAGGTCGATATCAGGAACTGAGTATCAAGATGGACTCACGCCAAAGTACCTGAGAATGCCAAACTTTTCAGAACACAGGATCCTTACCGAAGCATCTCTGGAACTTCCACCTATGCTGTATATTCTTTTTTAGCGATTGTAACCAAGTAGAGAGAAGTTTTCCTCAGAAAGCGGCGTAAAGGTGCAAGACCCCTTTGTACCATTCTTTGAGAATGTGTATTTCAGGTAGTTTGGCATGTCACACCAACATGTAAAGACGTGCATTTTAAAGTAATATGATAAGGAAAGGAACTGTTTAACTTTTTAAAACTAATCATGGGGTTCTCATTGTAATTTGTATAAGTTCCATGACAAACATAGATAACTGAAATCACAATGCTTTTTTCTTCATATTTCATTAAACCTTAATAATAACAATGCAGATATCATTATCATCATCATCATCATCATCATCATCACCATCATCATCATCATCATCATCATCATCATCATCATCATCATTATCATCATTATCATCATTTTCACCAATATTTTCCAAACAATTGGTTTTCTTTTTGTTTGTTTGTTTGAACATTAAAATT